TGTCATTGTGTGAACGGCTGATTCTGTGGGAGCTTTCAAGGATCTTTACCACAACCTGCTGGTTCCATTTTTTCTCTTTCAAAGTGAAAGCAAAGGAAAATAAAGGAATAAGTGATATAGGGATAAGAGTCCCCTATACAGGCCAGCGGTGGGTGGCTATTCTCTTTTGTATCCCAGTTAAATATAAGACAATTAAATCCCCTTTCCCAACGTGTTTCGTTACTGTGGCTCCCCAGAAACAGCCTACAAAAGATCATCTGAAGGTAAACGATACGAGGGCGCCGACCTGTGAAGTGTCAGACAAGTGTGACAGTGTACATGCTAAGTCCCGAGCGCAGAGGGGGCCTCTCGCGCGCGCGCCAATAGGGGACGCGGGACATGAAAGCGGCGTGACGCTCGCGGCGCTGCCACTCAACGGCGCCGAGCTCCCGCTCCCGTTCACCTTCCCGCACGGAAATTCAACTTCGAAAGACAATTAAAACGCTCCCATCACACATAACGTGTGTTCTGCAGACTCCAGTTTGTCACAGTGCTCTCTGATTAATTTTTTTCTGCGTATTTTGTGACTGTTAAAAAGGCACAATTTAGCTTGATAATGATGTTTTATATAGTAACAATATAACATTTCCTCTACATCCATTGAAAGAAAACATACCTTAAGACAGTCGTATCCCAGTGAGTTAAACTACGGTTTACTCCATTCCACATTGTAATTTAATATACAGGCTTTGCATGATTATTTCCCACAGAAATTACAAAATCTTATGGCGGTGTGGATAATGATTTTTTTTTTCTTCTGAGCAGTGCATGTCATTAGAGTTGCACAATTAGCAAGTACTGATAGTAGCGTTTGACGGAAGTTCAGCGTCGCCCAGCAATTGCGTTCGTGCAGAAAAGCGCAGCGGTGACACCTACTGGTGATGCAGTACATACGTCGCGATAATAATTGAAGCAATTCAACAGCAAGGACAACAACAGCTACACAAGGCTTTTACTTTATAAGATGTTCTGATAAGGACGATTTTTCCAAAATTCACACAAGGTTTGTTTTCTTATCTTCTTATTACATTTTTATTGTCTTATATAGAGTTGTACTTTTTTTAAATAATGGACTGAATCAATTCATTCTGTAGCTGCATGTAGAATAGCAGATAAAACACCTAGCCCAACTATTCATCTTTTTAAATTATCTTAATTTCTTCAATAATAATCTTATACTATTTGGCTCATACAGACTTAATAAGCAGGTGCTGAAAATGGCTGGATCAATGGTCAGACTGATTAGACCTCACGCTGCAGTGAATACTGACGGCTCGCTCATGTAAAGGCTCTTTGTATTACTGTCACATGTTGCATTTAGAATGGAAAGTCCATTTATCCCCCTACCATCTTCATCATCAATAGCTGCTTAATTAAGCTGCTCTTTACTGTTAGGGTTGTGGCAGAGCATTCAGTGAAGTGTATGCCATAACAAATGTCGTCAATACAAAAAAGCTATTTCAGCTTTGTATTTTGCCTAAAATAACATATATTTCAGAAAGATTCTTTGGAGACATCTGTGCAAGTCTTTTAGCAAGATCCTGGCACATACCATAAAAATGTGCAAATATAAATACACATTTTTGCATTTATCGTGATTTGAAATCAGCCGATGTCAAAACCAAAATAAAGACTTTCAGAGCTAATGCTTGCATGCTGGCATCAAATTTCCGAGTTCCCTAGAAGTCCCAGAGACACACAGTGAATGACACACTGAACCAGCCCCTGCTGCTTTTGTAACGATTCTCTGATGCCCCCCCCCCCACCCCACCCCCCTGGGGCCAACCTAAGTCAAAATGGCAGCGCTCATCTCAGGTTTTGTTATAACATGATTTTAGGAAGTATTACTTAGCCCGAAGTGCCGAAATAAGTGAGTCTATGGTTCACTGAGCACAGTAAAACACATATAAACAAACATTATTCATATATACATGTATCACAGATTCACATCACATATCAAACACAGCCAATGCTGTATATCATTGGCAGAACAGATTAACAGCAAGCAATTAAAAATACACAGTAAAACTTTATTCTGGTCTTTTCAAATTGACTATAGAATTATGAGAGTACATACGTCATGTTGCAATGCCTGGTTTATGAATGCCTTCAACGATTCTTTTAACTCTTAAATGCAGCATGCAAAACACAGCTTTATAATAAAGACCAGACACGTCAAATGGTTTCCTTGGAAACACATTTGCAGTATTCCGATTACCCAGTTGTGAGAGGAGGTGTTGTGCTCAGGGGTCCATCTAATGAATGCAAGAATAAATTAGTTTATAATTGCTGACTGTGCGCATGTGTGTCTGAATGTGTTAGGAACAGAAAGAGACAATACAATTAATGTTGTTTAGTGGTTTTATTGCCTTTTGTGTAAATGATCTTACATTTCAATACCTAAAAGATGGTCTTATTTATGAAAAATGTTCAACTAAAAAATCTTAAAATAGACAATTCCAGTTTTGGTCTAGATTGTTAGATCATTATATTCTCCATTCACTCTTTACAAAATATATCTCTTAATTTTATAATTTATATATATTTTTTACTTCCATCATAACATAATCAAAACATTTTCAGTTTATCATGTTTTCCTGTTTTAAAACTATTATGACCAGTCAAAATATGTGAAAAGATTAAAATCACAAAGCGCACACATTGAAGGCATAATCGCGGTAACAAATAGAGGATCTACTTAACAGATTTCATTAAAGAATGATCATAATTAGATTTCATTGCAACATCATATTGGCAATTTGTTTTGTTCCCTAGATGTGTATAAAAATCATTTAGTAGAGATCATGGTAGGTG